ATCGTTCACTCTCTTTATGAACAGGCCCTCAAAGAAGCCTTCTCTGACCCCAGCACCTTAACCATATCCTCTCCTTGCAGTCTGTACTTCCTTAAAAGTCTTCCCACCTTTGTAATTAAATAATAATTGCACGATTAATTGCTTAATGTCTGTCTTTCTTGCCAAATTATTTTCCCAATGAAAGCAGGAGCCAGGTCTACCCTAATTGTAGCTGTATCCAACGCTGGCTCTTGCCTGTAGCAATACATTCTTTTAAATGAGTTACTTCATTCTCATACGTATTCATCCACTAATTAATTTAGCATTCACAGGCCCTAGGAACTGTGCTACCATTAAGAAAACAAAAATTAACATGATAATTTTTGCATTCAAAGAGTTCACAATTTAGTACCAAAAGTTCTTAACTCTTTCAGGTAGAGGTTCCCCTTGAAAACCCAGCAAAAATGGACGCAAGATTTTTTATTTCATTTGTTAGCTTCGCGGATCCTCGTAAGTCCGGTCACTTCTTGCTGATGTTCTCTGCATTTAGAATTCAGGATCTCTCGATAAAATAGACTTGCAGGGACACATAAGGTTGGGGAGGATGGAGGAGAGTGCCGGTGTGTCCTTCTATGGATCAGGAAAGGTGTCCATTGCAAGGGATGTTTGAGCCATGTCTTGAGCAAGAAGTCTGCTGTCACCAGGAGAAGGGGCAGCTAGAGGTTGAGAAGACAACGTGCAGGAGAGCATTGACTTGTGGAAGAGCGTGTCATGGCAGGGAATTGCAAGTGTCTTGTGAAGTGGAGAATGCGCGGCTGTGAACAATCTGGGTGGACGCGTTGGGGTGGTGGTGAGGAAAGGCTTTGGGGAGGTGATAGACCAGGGATGAACCTGATTCCATCTGCAGTCAGTGAGAAGCTCTTCCAGGGTCTTACTGGAGATGGACAAGGTCTGACCTGTGCTTTAGAAGGAGCCCTGTGGTGTGGTGTTGAGGGTACGTCCTGGAGCAGAGTGGGGCAGATGGACCGGTTGTTCAGACCCCAGGGCGAACCACAGTGACAACATAGTTTAAGGAGGGCACATAGGCCAGCTTGATATTGAAAGGGGAGAAGCAACAGGAAGTTGTCACTATTAGATGAAGGGGGTGTGACAAAGATAGGGATAAACTCCAACACCGTGCCCTAGACAGCTGAGTGGGTGAGGACGGTGATCAGTTTAGGTCTCCATAGACAGCCTCTTAGAGATGAGTGCCCGTTCACAAAATAAAAGTCTTCTGGAGTCACTTTTTTTTCCTACTCAAAACTAAATGAGTTTTTGTGAATGATAAAAAGTACAAGTCCTTACAACTTAGATTATCCTGCACATTGGCTAGAAGAATTCCAGTACAAAGATCAACCTTGATTTTTAATCACCAAAGTTATCTCAGCAGCTGCAGTGAAGCAGCCTTCTAATCTCTCTTCTCGAAGCAAGAGCTTGGGCTGTACTGGAGCACAAGGTTGGCCACACACAGTCTGGGTAAACAGATTATTCACTGCTGCCCAGAGAATTTTGGGAGATGGAATGCCCGCAGGGAAGGTGACAGTTGTTTCGGACCTGCCAAGTTGGATGCATTCAGTACAGTGCACTTTGTGACCAGGAGTCTCAAAAAATATTAAACCATAGCTATAGATTTCTAATAAACATTAAAGCATAATTGTAAATTATTATTAAATCATAATTATGAATATCTTATAAATGAATTATTTTTTATATTTGGAATCTGGTACTATCTTGGATCAGCCTAAAAATCTTCAATCAGGATAAAATCTTGATCAGAATAAAATCTTATAGTAGGCTTCCAATTAAAAAAAAAGAAACAGTTCCATTGAGGTATAATTTACATAACATGCTATTCACATAAAGTATACAGTGCTTTCAATTAATTTTTATTTGCTTTAAAAAGTTTGCTTTTTCTAAATTTTTGGCAAGTGAATGATATTCCTTTTGCAATCAGAAAGACATATATTTTCTACATTTAAACATTTATTTAACAGCCCTTATTCATAAAGAATGTTCTCCCTTGATTATTAGAGCCAAGAGAAAATATATCGTGTATGAGTTTAAATTAAACAAATGTAAAATATGGTCAGATAGTCCTACAAATGTGACATGGTTAGTGAGAATACAAGACTAAAAGTCAAACATCTAGTGGCTTTCTTCAATGTCCTGCCACATCAGGGAGACCCAGTTTAATTTACAGATGCTTGCTCCTCTGTCAGGGGATTGGGGAGAAATTTCCCCTGCCAATAACCTTCCCTGCTACGGGCTGCTGTGTTGTGATGGGTGTATTCTCACCCAGGACAGTGGTGATATTGCATTAAGAGGAACCAAAGCCTTGGGGTTTAAACTGATGTATGTGTGGGAGGAAAAGTTCAACCTATCTATTTACTGTATATACACAGTGAGAAAAGTTGGCAGGTTTGAGCATCCTGAATGTCACCTCAGATCATGCGTTAGTGATCTTTGTGACAGATGGTACAAAACTAAAGATCATATTGTTTTTAAAAAATAACAATGTGTGGAGGAATGCAACATTTTTCCTATAAAATATATAGTACTGTGCCCAAAGTTTGAACCTCTCTGCTTCACCCTATGATGCTGGACACCAAGAATACAATTGGCATTAGGCTGATGTGGGTATTGGTAATTTGTCTAAAACAGTTTGTCTTTTCCAAGATTGCATATGGGTATACAGAGAAAGAGGGGCTTAGAAAAACTTGATCTAACTTACCCCGATATCAGTTCTAAATCAATGGTTCTTAAGTGTAGTTTCTCTTAGTTCTGGAGTTAAAAGCCTACAAAGTATTCTGTTTTTTTTTTTTTTTTTTTTTTTTTTTTTTTTTTTTTTTTTTTTTTTTTTTTTTTTTGGGGGTTTTTT